TAAACCCCAAACCCGAGACCTTGTAACTCTTTCTTCGCTGAACAGGGCTTCGGGGCTTAAACATCTTAACACCCTAAACCCTAAAACCCTAAACCCTAAACCCTAAACCCTAAACCCTATCGTTAAAGTGTTGCGGGTTCTTGTTTTTGGGTTTGGGCTTGGGGGGAAGGGGCTGTCGATTGTGGCGGATCCGGAGAGAGTGAGTAGGAAGCCTTGATTTCGGGTTAAGTGCGGGCCTAGGGCTTTCCGTTTTTTCACCCTAAACCCTAAACCCTAAACCCTAAACCCTAAACCCTAAACCCTAAACCCTAAACCCTAAACCCTAAACCCTAAACCCTAAACCCTAAACCCTAAACCCTAAACCCTAAACCCTAAACCCTAAACCCTACCCTAGCACGCGCCCGAGCGTCGTGAAAGCGTAGGAGGACAGGTTTCCACGGTCGGCTCCGTGCACGCCCTCTTCACGGGCCCAGGCCTACTTGGAAGCCCATTTTGACTTAGTAAGTAGGGTTCGTAAGGTAGGTTGTGGGAATGTAGCAGGGTTTAGGGTTTAGGATTTAGGGATACTAAGTAGGCTTACCAAGTCAAAAGAGCTTCCAAGTTGTCAACACAAAGAGGTCTGAGAGGAGATTCCGGGAACTAAAGTCCTGAAGCTACCCTAACGGTCCATGTACCTAAATAGGGAATACTTGGGCCTTAAAGTACTTCCTATGTAGGGACTTTGGGGCCCAAGTACAGGTAATAACAAGGCACATGGACCCTGAGGGCTATACTGGCTCTTAGTAAGGAATGATCTTATATCACCCTATACATTCCCTGTTACGGGATCTATCTATCTATCCATCTATATATATATATGTATATAGAGGCTACCCAAGTTCCCTCGTTGCCTATTAAGAATGAGGAAGCAGACCTTGGACCCTGAAAACTAAACCCTAAACCTCACAATGTCCGAAGGCTTTCCTCAAGAAGGAGTTGGCTCCAGGGTTTAGGGGATTGAAGGTTGATACCCCCAGGTCATTAACTCCCCATTTACAAACTCCGGCTCGGTCGCTCACCTACAAGCACCCCCTTCGAAAAAGAAAGATAGCAGGGAGCTGACATTCGTGTTCTGAAACCTGGGGGGGGGGGGGGGGGGGGGGGGGGGTTGTAGCGGCTTAAGGGTTCCAGGGCTCATATGGCTTTAGGGTCTAGGGAGCTGAAGTTGAATCCTCAGGTCCCCAACTCTCTCCCTTGAACCCTCTCCCCCGATTCCCTAGTTGCTGCGTACCCTGGGCCAAAGAAGGTTAACTGTTAACCCTCAACCCTAAACCCTAAACCCTAAACCAGGACCCTAAACCCTGAACCCTAAACCCTGAACCCTAAAGGTTAGATACTCAGCTACTGAGATTCCAAGCGCAGGCCTTGCAGGTTTGGACTAAGTCGACCACCCGCAGGTCTAGGTCCGCGTAGGCCTTGAGGAGCCTCTGTTCATGGGCTGCCAGTAAACCCGAAACCCTATGCCTTGGGATGTTCCCCCTTATACGAACAGTGCTTAATAGAGATCATAATGTGGGGAAATACCTCACTTTCATAGGAAAATATCAGACCTGATATGGGGCGGGGTTTTTTGAGTAGGGAGTACTGTAATCCCGATAAATGACTGTTAACAGAAGAGGGGGGCATGAGACTCCAAACCGTAAGCTCCAGCCCAACAGCCTTGTGCAGCGTTGTCATTTCCCCCCCCCCCCCCCCCCCCCACCCCGAAAAAACAAAAATCAGTTGGTAGCCCAGAAACCATATTGCAATAAGGGTACCCTTTTTGGGGGGTTGGTTACTTTACCAGGGAACCTCGAACGCAAAAAAGAAGGCAAAGAGGCGCCTCTGGGCGACCAATTCTAGGCTTCAAAAGATTCAGCAGTGGAAAAGCAAGTACATCTAAACATGAGCCTTCAAGTACGTGAGGTTCAGGACACACCACAATGCTGAGGCACCGGATGTGTCTTGGGGGGCTTAGGGTTTCGGGTTTAGGGTTTGCTGTGGGAAAAATTGCGCAGCAGCTGTGAAGAATTGGGAAGCAGACTAGCTTCGAAAGCTTCGCGGCATGCGAACAGCAGCCATGGGCAGGGGTTCACGGAGGTCTGGAAGGTGCCATCGGGCGCGTTAGAGGTGGCAGTTTCCGCCAGGCAGGTGTTTAGGGTTTAGGGTGCAGGGTTCAGGGTTTTAGGGTTCAGGTTTCAGGGTCACCTCCTCTCATGTTCGCTTCCCAGCGGCTTGGTGTTGAAGACTGGGAGCAGGTTGTTGACAGAAAGGTCGCACTCAATCCACTCCCCGCCCCGCTGCAGGCTGAACTTGATAATGGGCACCTTTGCCTTCGAAGAGCCAACACCAAAAGGGATTAGGAGTTAGGGTTTAGGGTTTAGGGTGTATGGCTTTAGCGCTTTAGGGTTTAGGAGCCTTGATGGGGATTTTAGAGTTCTGAAGTTGTAGATGGACCCCAACTCTAGAATTCAGGTTGGTCTCCAAGGAATCTGCCTTCGGAACGAAGAGACGTATGGAGAAGCCGCACCGTCGCAGCTCCTTTTGCAACTTTCCCAAGACGCGCGGCTCCAGACCCTTCTTCCCCAGCCTTTCCAAACCCAAGCCCTCCGATAGCCTCAGTAGCCCAGTAACCATATTCTAGTAAGGGCACCCTGTTTTGGGGTTGGTTCGTTTACAAGGGTAACCCATAAACCACAAAAAAAAAAGTGTAAAGGGTACCACTGGGCTACCAAGTGGCTGGGCTTTACTGGCACAGAGGACCAAGTCCACATCCTTCGACCGGGGCTTGTGAAGATAGGGCGGGGGGGGGGGGGGGGGGGGCCATATTTGGAGGTTGATAGGGTGAGGATGATCTCTCTTGTTCTTTTTCTGGGGGGGGGGGGGTGTATATACATACATGTATATACATACGTATAATACATATATATATATATAAACCCCCACATCCTTCGGGTCATTTCTCCCCCCCGTCCCTACAGTGACAGTCCTCATGGAGATCTGGGGAACCGAAATAAAGGTGTTCCCTTGGTCTATAAAGGAACTTAAAGAAAGGGAACTGCGCAACCCAGCATAGGTACAATAAACCCCGGCCCCCCCCCCCCTCCCAACCCCCACCCTTCTCCCCCCCAACCCCCCACCCCTCTCCCACCCCAAAAACAAAGAGCAAAAAATGGAGAAGAGTTAAAGCAAATAAAGCAAAATTCAAAGTGTTGTTTCAGACTCTGCAAGCATCGGAGGCGTCGTCGCCAAAGCCGTTCACAGAGGAGCCAAAAGCTCGAACTTCAGCGCCCTCCACACCTTAGTAGCCCAGTAACCATATTATAATAAGGGCACCCTTTTTTAGGTTGGTTGCATGATAAGGGAACCAGAACCAAAAAAGGAAAAAGGGTACCAGTGGGCTACCAAGACACAGGAGGCTGCCTGCAGCACGCGCTTGATCACGTGCTGCACGCGAGCCTTAGGCATGAAGCATGAAATTTTTGAGGCTGGTGGGTACTTAGGGTTTAGGGTTTAGGTTTAGGGTTTAGGGTTTAGAATTCTTGTAAGCGGGCTTGCAAGTAGGGCAACTGTGCGTTAAAAGCTGGTCGCAACCTTATGCAGGGCTGCTCTGAACCCATGTCTTCGTTCGGCATGTTCCTTGGGTTAGCCTCTGGGCCATCAACCATTCTAGCTCGGGCCAAGCCTAGGAATAAACCCAAAAGTCAAGGCCTAGGGCGCCCCCTACGTTGGGAAGCCCCTCAACCTCGATGGTGCAAGCCGACCCAAGTCGTTCGCCCGCCTCGCACAGCTCGGAGGTCAGTAGCACCCATGATGGGCCCGGTACCGGAGCACGTTCTCCTTGGGACCAGTACTCCTAAACCCAGAGCTTTTGGTTCCTTTAAACCTGCCCTGGCCCCCCGCTGGCCCTCTGGCCCTCTTCTGCCCCTCTCCTTCTCCCTTGGCTGAAAGTGACCATCGGTGACGGAAAGGCTTTTTGTCATGAGTTGAGGCCTAAACCTTAAAAGGAGCCTCGGACGGCGTGGGGTGGGAGAAAATATTAGAGGGCCCTCCACAATCGGGCCAGAGCTGCTCTTCGCACCTCACGAGGCATTCGAGCCTTGACAGCAAACCCTAAACCCCAAACCCTAAGCCCTAAGCCCTCAGCCCTAAGCCCTAAGCCCTTAGCCCAAAGCCCTAAGCCCTAAACCCTAAACCCCCGTTTTTTGGTGTAAAGGGGCCCATTAGAGGACCGGGAATAAGGGCCGACTTCCAGGTCCTACCCAGACAGGATCCCAAAAAAGGAACCCCCAAATAGTAACCTATACTACTCTTGGGTCATTCTTAGGAACCCCCAAATAGTACCCTATACTACTCTTGGGTCATTCTTAGAAACTCTTCACAGAATCTATGTTTTTGGATCCTCCCAGGGGTCTGGGTGCGAGGGTTCCTTGAGCCAAGATGCAGGGTAAGCGATGCTCGGCAGGCTGGCACGGCAAGGGGCCCTCGAGTGTCCAGGTTCTGCGTCTCCGGCCATCCACCCCCCAGCCCGGAGTGCCATAGGCTTTGGGGCTTTAGAGTTCTATAGAGAGAGTTTTAAGGCAATGAGAATTCGGGTTCAGGGCTTCAGAGTTATTTTGGGTTTAGGGTTGAAGGGTTTCAGTGCTCTAGAATATTTTTAAATTAGGCCTTTAGAGTGCTTCATGTCTGGGGTAGCTTAGGGCTTCAGAGTTCAGGGTGTAGAGTCTAGAGTTGAGCATGCCGTGCGATTTCGTGCTAGGTGTGTATGTAGGATCAACGCAGAAGACCAATTAGGCGCAGAACATCACATCCAAAATGATAGGCAATTCGGTGCCCAGCTCGGACATAGAAAGGGTTTAGAGTTTAGGGTTTAGGGCTTAGGGTTAAGGGTTTAGGGTTTAGGTTTTAGGGTTTCGGGAACCCTACACCCTAAACCCTAAACCCTAAACCCTAAACCCTAAACCCTGCCGGGCTGAGCTGGCCTGTCATCTTCGTACCGGGCACCTGGCTCAGGAGTCCGCAGGGTTTAGGGTTTAGGGTTTAGGGTTTAGGGTTGAGGGTTGAGGGTTGAGGGTTTACGGTTTAGGGTTTAGGGTTTACTTGGTTGAGCCTGACTTTCCTCTGATGGTTGCCGTGCATAAGTTGGTCTCGAGCCCTTGGACCAACGGTGCAAAATTGGGCCCTTTGCCGTAAACCCCAAAACCCTGAAACCTCCTCTAGGCCCCTGGCGCTTGGCCAGCGGACCCGCAGAGAATGGCCCGATGTCGAAGACGCCTGCGCTTCGTTGGGGCAGTTTTTTCCCACAGAAGGTTTAGGGTTTAGGGTTTAGGGTTTAGGGTTTAGGGTTTAGGGTTTAGGGTTTAGGGTTTAGGGTTCAGGTTTTCCCACAGAAGCTTCTACTTGGAAGCACTTTTGAGTCAGTAAGCTCTACGTAGTATCCCCTAGAAACCCTACTCGAATTCCCATAACCCACCTTACTAACCCTACTTACTACGTCAAATGGGCTTCAAGTATCGTCCACATGGCGTCTTGGTTTTGGGCTTCGAAACCCTAAACCCTGAACCCGGAACGTTAAACCCTACCCCTGAACCCGATATACAGGCTTGAAACGTCGATTTACACTGTTAAGTGTTGATTAGTGGTGAATGAAGAAATGTATTATAACTACTATTTGTGCTTAAGAACCACCCTCAAAAAATGAAAGGCGAATACAGGGATTCATATATACATATACATATACATATAAATATATATATATATATATATATGTATTCTTGTCTTGCCACTATACGATGTCCTTTAAATATTTGGCACCTTCCGACTCAGAGGTGGAATCAGTCAGCTGCTGCTTATCCGATTCCACGGGTCTTTCAATCTAGTCCTGAGCAGGAGCTTCCCTAAACCCCAAACCCCAAACCCTAAACCCTAAACCCCAAACCCTAAACCCTAAACTCCATAAGCCGCGGCCGATGGCAGGGTTTCTGACAAAGGAGTAGACGAGCCATGAACATTCCAGGATGGGCTCTTAGGGCTTCGAAACCCAGGGTTTAGGGTTTAGGTTTTAGGGTTTAGGGTTTTAGGGTTTAGGGTTTAGGGTTCAGGGTTTAGGGTTTAGGATTTAGGGTTTACAGTTTAGGATTTAGGGTGTAGGGTTTAGGGAACCGGTGTTGGGTGCAGTCGCCCGTCCTGGTTCCGGAAACTGCTGTCCTGGTGTAGATGCGACCTAAACCCCAAACCCAAACGCCAAATCCTAAACCCTAAACTTGTCGTAGTAGCGCATCGTTGCACCCCGACCAGCCTCCACGCGACATGCCGGCGCGGGGTGCCCAAGAATAACGTGAACCCTATACACTAAAAGGTTCCTGTAGTATCCTCAGAATTACAAGGGGTGCAATGTTTGGGTTTGAAGGTTGGACTAAGGAAACCCAACATCTACGAAAGGCACTTAGGGTACGATGAGTAGGGATCCCAAGCTGCCAACCTTAAACCTCCGAAAGCTTCAAGCGCTGAACTTTCAACTGAATGCAAAGTAATGACCCTTGCTGAGAGACTGAGGTTAAAGGGCTGGGAGGGGGTCTTACGAAAGTTCGTAGCCACAGGCAGCCTCAAGGCACAAGCTGCCAGGTCGAACTGGGGCAAGAAATTTGCGAGGTTTTGCTTTGGCTCTTGTCTCATGTTTAGTAGGCCTGCGAGCCATACTGCATGTTGAGCAATGGGCTGCGCGAGGCGGGCCAGTAGCAAACAGATGACGGACACCATCACCCTTGAAACGTATACGGTACTATTCCTAGACCCAGGAGTAACCTAGGAATTAAAAGAGTACCCTTTTTGGTTTTCCTAGGAATTAAAAGAGTACCCTTTTTGGTTTTAAGGGGAATATAAGGGAAGCCCCAACCCCAAACAAAGGAAATAAGGGTCTTCACCGGGTCCTAGATTCTACACTGCACCCCATAACCTAGACTCTATACCCTACACCCGCTACCCTAAGGTTAGGGTTTAGGGTTTAGGCGGTTTAGGGCTTAGGGTTTAGGGTTTAGGGTTCCTAGAACATCTGGATTCGAACTCTTGGCAATCAGCGACGTCCAAGTTGTCGGGAGCAGCTGCTTCAAATGCGGGAAATCGCTTGCATGGCTTTTGTCTGGGCTTGAATCGGCTTGAAGTCTTGTTCTCTTGACCGTTGACAAGGTTCTCAACAACAGCCCCAGTGTATGTAGCAGGATTTTACTGCTAGCATTCCCAAGAGAGGACAAGACGACACTCACCAACACTCTTTCAGGAACCATGTAAACACCCACCACCAAGAACAGCAACAATAACCCCCTCTCATATGGGCAGCCCTCTGCACGTGTTCCCTGGGTAGGTCCACGTTAATGGGAACATGGAGCCCTACATGCAGGCGATAAAACACAAAAACGTTCAGCCCCTGCAAGCGTCAACCACCCCTTCTCCCAAACCCCAAACCCGAAACAAAGCTATAAACCCTACGAGCCCTGCACCTCCATTGCCCTACGCCCCTGGCACAACTGGACCACTCCCTAAGGATCCAGGTGCAGATATTTGGTACATGTTTGGGCCTTACGAGGCTTCCCATATATCGTAGCCGTAGGGCCCAAAGTATACACAAAAAAGAGGTACATGGGTCCTTACTTGGAGGTTCAGGCTACATAGTAACCCAGTCATAACTGCACTTAAAAACCAATGAAAACCCCATTAGTACTCAAGGGGCTTATAAGTGGGTCATAACAGCACTCATAATTGGGTTACTACGTACCCTGAACCCCCAAGCCCTAAACCCTAAACCCTGAACCCCCAAGCCCTAAACCCTAAACCCTAAACCCTAAACCCTACACACATAACTGGCTTACAAGTACCCTGAACCTCGAAGCAGGGGCTGAGGGGCGGCCGGCGCACCTTGATGGCCGTTGATTTCTGGGGCTCGACATGGGTGAGTCCAGAGCTGGTCGGACCTCAGCTCAGGTTCAAATTTTCGGGGGTTTAGGGTTTAGGGTTTGGGGTTTATGGGGTTTGTGGGGTTTGTGGGTTTTGTTAGGGATTAGGTTTAAAAGTTGGGGTTTAGGGTTTCGGCTTGGGTTTTGGGGTTTAGGACATGGAGTTTCGGGTTGCAGGATTATTTGAGGTTTGCGGGTTGATTCTTGAGGGTTGGGGCTTGGGATTAAGGGTCCGACTCAGGATTACTTGGTGGTTCATGGTACTTAGTAACACAGATATAAGGTGTAGTTATCACCCACATATAAGCCCCTTAAGTATCTCAACAGGATATTCATTGGGTTCTTCAGTACACTTGCGATTAGGCTATGAAGTACCATGAACCTCGACAGGGTTTGGGGCTTAGGGCAGGGTTGTCGATGGTAGGTGGTAGGGTACCAGAGAAGGCAACCCCAAACGCTGGGCCCCCGCGCTGGACACCAAGTGCCTGCCTGTGAGGATCTGCAAAAGGGTGATGCCGGCCTGAGGAAGCGCAGGATTTAGGATTACAGGATATTTAAAATAAACATATTATATCATATGTTATACAAATAACAAACATACTTTAGTTCCTTGTGTTAGAATCATTAGAACATATATTTAACCTTTACCCAAATCAGTTAATGAAATACTAAGGATCTGGAGTGGAGCGCTTGGAAGCCCTTGTCACTGAGTATCCCCTGGAAAGCCCCCCCCTTAGTATCCCGTAGAAAGCCCCAAGTAGGTGACCCTCCGAGCATGGGAGCATGAATGTCAAAGCATCCTTTGCCGGGGGTTCAAAGTTCAAAGTCAGAGGCGTCCCTTGTTGTTTGCTTTTTGTTGGGTCGGCAGGGTCCCCAACACTGCCCGGATGTGTGTTCAATATACCTAAACCCCGAGCCTAATCCGAAATTGAGCTCCGAATACTCAGGCGCCAGGTTCTTCAGACTCTTCAGAAATTGACTTGGAAATATGCGGAATTCAGGTGTTGCTGAGAAGAGCTTCCAAGATACTCAAGCCCGTAAACCCTAAACTAGCATCCCTCGAGCAACTCGCATCAATGCTGGAAGAAAGGATTTCCCCAGGTGGGGTAGCAGATTGTGTGTTGACCGGTTCAACAGGGAATTAAGACCCGGCACGCTTCAAAAACTCATTCCAAACCAAGCCCCGGCAGAGTCGAAGAAGAGGTAATTTGGACTCAAATTTTCAATCAACCCCAAACCCTAAACCACTTCCAAGACCCGAGACCTAAACCCTCTAAACTTCAGACTTTGGGGTTTTCACAGGGTTGACGTGAAGGTTTCATGGTTAGTTATCCCTACATAAGGTTAAGTTATAGCCAAGCTATCCTACCTAAAGCCCTACTCATAAGTACCCATGAACTAAACCCTAAACCCAAGCCACAAACCCTAAACCCTAAACCCTAAACCCTAAACCCTAAACCCTAAACCCTAAACCCTAATTCCTCAGACGCTCTAGAAACAGGTCTGCGTGTCGAATCGGGATCTCTCAGCCCCTCACGCTCCAGAGGTCCACGGCAGTGGTCCTTAGATTCAAAAGGTTTAGGGTCTATAGGGCTTCGGGAGGCCTACAAAGCGCAACCTTGCACCTTAAACAAAGGGTAGCTATTCATAGCTAATGCATAACTATATTATATACGTATATATATATATATACACATATACATATACATGTGTATATGTATATATACATATATATATATGAATAAACAGATACATATGTATATATATATACATATATAGTTATATTTGCATTTATTTATTTATGTTTATACTTATTAGGTACACTTTCAGTTGTTTAAGGTATAAAGGTTACTCCAGGTATACTTAGAGGTTGAGATGCGGACCAGGGTTCAGTGGGATGTTGGGATCAAGTGAAACAAGTCTGAAGTCTTGGGTCACACTGGGCGAACAGAACAGGGATGCACATCCAACGCGCATGACATGGTGGCTTCCGTAGACTGTTTATATCAGGGCCTAGGGTTTCGGGTTTAGGGTTTAAGGTTGAGTAGGGTTGAGGGATGACCGGCATGAAGTAGGCTTGACAGCTTTGCAACCACAGCCAGAAGATAGGACATGGCCCCCAAACCCTGTCCCAATAACAAGCAAGAAGTACATGTTTATTCAGAGTGGGGCTTCGGGCTTGGGGCTTACGAATTGCATTGTCATGACCCCGCAACGACCCTTGGCCCTTGGAGTATCCGAGGCTTTGGCTGCAGCTCCTGCTTGAGGACTTCCGGCGCCATGTACTGGAAAGTCCCTGGACTCTTTGTTTTAGATTTGGGGAAGTTGACATCAGAGTTCGCTGTTTTTCTGTCAAAAAGATTCCCCGAATGTAGGACAAAGTCTGGAATAGTAAGCGCCCATGACCGAGACCCGAAACCCTATACCCTGTGGGTAGGGCTTGAGGGCTCAGTGAACTGTTAGGATTCCCTACTTTCCTTACAGGTGAGTTTAGTAGGGAAACGTGAGACCCTCGACCAGGGTCGGGAACCCCAAGACGCCACCAATTTTGTCAGGGAATGTTCTCTCCTTAGGGTTGAATTGAAGCTCTTTTGACTTAGTAAGTCTACCTAGTATCCCCTAAAAGTCCTATTAGGATCTCCATAACCCACCCTACTCACCTTAATTCGCAAGTCAGCAAGCTTCCAAGTGACGGTTTAGCCTGTATTCTTTTAGGGAAATCCAAGGAGTCGACACACGCATGCGAGAGGGGATTAAAATTCAGAGATTGTGAGCACAAACCTTTTAAACCTGCCTGAGACGCACGGGAATCTGAGCGGGTCTACGGCCTAACAGACCCTGGGCTAAATCCTGAATCCTGGGCTAAATCCTGAATCCTAAAGGTCCTAAGCCCTAAATCGTAAATCCAAAGCCCTGAATCCTAAATCCTATATACCTTAGAAATCCTAATTCCAATATCCTGCATCCTAAATCCTATACCCTACATCCTGCAGAGTTTGCGGGGGCCTGGACTGGCACTTAGCAACTTTTGCTCGGTCAACAAGGGGGCTTGCCCTCCATGTCTTCGGCGTCTTTGGACCTTTGAGACGCCCTGTTCTCCTCTTACGAGAGGTTGGCGAAATCTAAACCCTAAACCCTAAACCCTAAACCCTAAACCCTAAACCCTAAACCCTAAACCCTAAACCCTAAACCCTAAACCCTTACTCCGGCGGGCTCCTGGCCTGACCAGAAGCGCATCGGATTGGAGGCCCTTTCGATCATCGTCCGCAAAACTACCGCCACTTAGACGTGGCCTCTTTTGAACTTCCCTTTCTTTGCGGTGACCTTACCGATAATATAGAGGCCTGAATAATTACAATAGG